CTCATCTCGAGACCTGCAAAAGGTACGGACTGAAATTTTGGGAACTTAATCTATATGCATGTAGGGTCTCCATCCCAAAAATGGATGCTCTTATCGCGTGGTACCCACGTATGAGCCCACTAAAGTTTTCTGCGGGTAGGCTGCTAACTCGGGAACCAGAAATGCTGGGAGGCTGTAATTTTAAGGTAACGTTCCCCGTCCAAGTGAGTATTAATGAGCTCAAACCCAGCCTCCAGGTAAGCGTGGTACCCATGTACAGGCCTGCCAAAGTTTTTTCGGGTAAGTTGCTAACTCGGGAATCTGAGAAACTAGAAGACTGGAATTTTGAAAGGACGTTTCCTAACAGTCCTGGCGGCCAGTCTGAAGTTCTTTTAGCTAGAAGCATCTGCCGGAAAAACCAGTGCCGTTATCGAAAAAAACCTGCGGGGAGCTGTGCGAAAAACGTACTTTCGCAAGGGTAGCTCGTGCGTTGACCAATTATTTAACATAGATGTTCCTTGACCTACGTTCAAATGCGAATTCGCACCGAATTTTCAAGTGAAGCAAGCCCTGAATTTAAGTTCTAAGCTTTTAACTTTCTGGCTTTCATTTGAAATAGGCTGTTCACACACACACATATTCACATACAGTCTTGCCTCACCGCTTTTTTGTCTTATGAACGCACAAAAAATTGTTTTAAAAGTGATTAGCTTAGAATGTTCCGATCAGAAAAGTCAAAGTTGCTGAGTATGAGGTTAACTTTTTGGAAAAAGCCGAGTTAAAAAAACATTCAGAGATGTGTATTTTGCAGGTGCATTTTTCATCTACGGCGGTATAACATGCTTTGCATTTGTCTTTTTTTACTTTTGTGTTCCCGAGACCAAAGGTTACAACATCGAGGAGATTGAAGTGCTCTTTATGTCTCGGAACAGCCGAAAGCGAACGCATATGACACTGGCTAAAAAACAAATTGCTGAAGAAAAACAAAACCATATTACAATGGTGATCTGCAACCAATCTGACCAATTTTAATCCTATTTCAATGTAGCTCCTTTGGCGTAACGTGTAGCTGTATCTCAGTAATATTCGACAACTCAGCATTGAAAGTCTGAGCGTTCTTGGTGTTAATCATGTTTTCATCTGAGTCTATCTCGCATCTTATTTTAGTCACTTAATCGCTTCATTTTATAATACTTAAAAAAGCCCTCCATCTAAACACATATTTTACAAACTTTAAATGTGCGACTCAAGCCAGTAAACAAAATTTAAGCCGAAGGTTTCAAATCTGGCAACAAAAGACGAAGATAGTTAAAATTTTGTAAAGAAAATAAACTTTGCTTCATTGTGAGACTGATTTCAATTTATGATGAATTCTATTCCGTTGTTAAGGAAACTAATCCCTCTAATCTTCACTGATTATACCACGATATTAAGTCCCCCGTGGCTCATGCCAGCAAGTCGAAGTCGGTTTCAGCTTGTTTTTTTAGAAAGAAACTGATAAAAATTTTGACCTCAGGGTAACTCTCGGGAG